TCTAAACTGCTTCAGAGTTCAATTAGCCTTGTAAATTTAATAACTTAATACACTAAAATCAGTGTTACTAGCAAATATAGCGTTGTGCTGTATATTCTGTGCTGTACGTATATATGTATGTATGTATATATCTACCCACATTTTCAAATAACTATCTTTATTTCCCCTCCTACCCACACCTACCTTTCTCTACACTTTATCTAGTATAGAGGCCACAGGGTAGAAAGAAAAAAAATCTAATTCTATAATCCATAAATTATCTATTTACTGCAGCTTAAAATGTATGAAGATTAATTATATCCATTTTAACATGCCCTAAGGTATGAGGAAGAGGAAGAAGAAAAAAAATTATATTCAAACCCATACCTCTTCATTTCTCATCCTATCTATCATTTTCATAATGCTTATAAAGTGGTAGCAGCGATCAGAATGGTCAACTTGATAGGTAGGAAAAGGACGATTTTGCCAAATTCTCCACTCAGACAAAGACAGTTGATGACTTCCAGGTCTTGATTCACAATTCTAGATTAAGAATGAAACACACAAAGATTGCAGATTAGATCTTGGGTTTTTTAGGTCATTGACAAAATCTCAAAGCAAAGCTACCCAAGCATATAGACTACAATGAATCCTTTATTAACTTTTTCTTTTGGAGGTCGCAAAAGTAGAGAGAATCAGGTTTCAAGTTTAACTATCACATTTTCTGAAAAATGGCAAAAACTTTAGGTGCATATTTAGTTGCTCTTTGTACCATCTACTACTTTATGGATAGAAGTTATCACATTAGCCAAGTGATAAAGTGGGAATTCGGGAAGAATACCAAAAAAAACCCACCAAACATTAGGAGACATCCTGATTAACTAAGAATGACCTTCGGATTATAAGTAAATGGTAATTTTGAGTCCAGATTTTTGGTCTAGAACCACAATATGGAATTCAAGGGTCTTCACTTATATTTGGGGGCCATAAAGGAACAGCATAATGGACTTCCTGGCCAAGAGAACCACAGGCCAAGTTTAATGAATTTCAGCTAACAGTTAGAAGAATGGACTTAGGTACCATTCAATCTATACTGACTCTATTCTCTTTTAAATGTACTTTCAATTACCATCAATCTTATTTTAATAATTCTGTAACTCTTATATCCCTTGTTTAAACAAAAAACCAGGAACATGAAGTACCCTTGCGTAGTGCATGGGATTTATGACAAAAGGAATAAATGGTAAAGAGAGGAAGTGCATTCTTGCTCCAAATAAATATATCAAGGCAGCAACAGAAAAGAAAAACCAGCACAGTCCATCTCTGAATACAGGGAGCCAAAAAGAATCAGAGACCCAGAGGATCAGAAGGTTTTGTAAGTTAAGATGTGGCTTAATCTCAGGAAAGGTTAGAAAATAGTAAGAGCCAATTTTAATTCAAAAAGAAAGTACCTCCTGGAAGGATTCTCAGTCAGACCTAATGTATTAGAACACTACCTCAGCAAAGCTGACAGACATGAACAGACATTTTTATACAGCCTAAAATAGGGCAGGGAATGGACCTCGGATTTCACTGGAATACGGAACTCCTGGTTGAGAAAATTCTGTCTACCAATGTAGATTGAAATCCCTCCAACTTAAGTGTGAGTAGCCTAGAGTAATGAGAGGTTAAGTGACTTGCCAAGGTCACACAAATGAAACAACAATTTCACAAAAACATAAACACAAGTAAGTTTCTTTATACAGTTCAGAATTTCACAAAAACCTGACCAGAAACCACTGATGCTAGGAGACAGAATATATCAGGGAACCTAGAAAAAGCATCAATAAGTGGGCCTGAACACTAAAGGAGCCATCCCAGGGAGAATATGAATACAAAGAAAACAGCAAACTCGATGAAGAAATACTATGGATTAAGAAAAAGCTCAAGGCAGCGAAGTGGCGCAGTGGATAGAGCACTGGCCCTGGAATCAGGAGGACCTGAGTTCAAATCCGGCCTCAGACACATAACACTCACTAGCTGTGTGACTCTGGGCAAGTCACTTAACCCCAATTGTCTCACCCCCCCAAAAAAAAAGTTCAAGAGGTAAATAAAGAAGAAAAGTGCATCTCCTCGAAGCATACTATTTCCTCTCCTTTTTTTGTTTGTTTCTTCTTTCTTGTGGTTCCTCCCATTGGTTCTAATTCTTCTTTACAACATGACTAATGTGAAAAGAAAAAAAGAAAAGTGCATCTCCACAACAAACAGAAGCAGAACCTCAGAGAAAAAAAAATGGACTGCGGCGGCAGCTAGGTGGCGCAGTGGATGGAGCTCCAGCCTTGGAGTCAGAAGGACTTGAGTTCAAATTTGGCCTCAGACACTTGACACTTAACTAGCTGTGTGACCCTGGGCAAATCACTGAAACCCCATTGCCTCGTGCAAAAAAAAAGAAAGAGAGAGAGAGAGAGAGAGAGAGAGAGAGAGAGAAAATGCCCACAAAAATGAGAGAGAGAGAGAGAGAGAGAGAGAGAGAGAAAGAGAGAGACTGAGAAAGAAAATGCCCACAAAAATGACCAGAATGATTAATAGCGAAGCAAGAATTTTTAAAAAAGAAACTAGAACTGAAATAAAAGCTCTGGAGGAAAAAACCGGAAGGAAAATAAATAGCTTAGAACACAAGGTGGAAAATTTGACCCAAGCACCAGACACCCTGAAAACAGAATAGAGCAACCAAAACTCAATGACATTAGACAACAAAAAATACTAGAAGAAAACTGAAAGATTGAAAAAGAAGAAAATATTAGTTATCTATTTATCAGAAACAGACCTGGAAAACAAGTCAAAAGGAAATAATTTAAGAACCACTGAACTCTGAAAATGATGAGCAAACAAAAAACCTGGACACCAAAGAAATCATAAAAACTGCCCAGTCCACTTACCTCACTACTTGAAAGAAATCCCAAACTAAAAATTCCAAGGATTTTTTAGCCAATATCACAGAGCTTCCAAGTGAAAAAAATATGACAATCAGACAGAAAGGAAGAATATAAGCATCAAAGAATTCCAGTAAGGAGCATACAAGGCTCCACCAAAACTAATATTAAGGAAAGGAAATCACTGGGCACGATACTCCAAATGGTACAAGACAAAGGTTTATAACCGAAAATAACTTGTGTGTGTCCCATACACAATCAAAAGACCAGATATGAGTTAAAGCTTACTAGCTGTGTGACCCTAGAACAGCAATTACTTTGAGCAACTGGAAGGGGCAGTCTGTGGGACAACTGAAAGTTTGTAATGTGAAATGGAAGCTATGCCCCAAAATTTAGTTAAGGCTTTATCATTAGCCGGCCTAAGTTTCGTTTTCCTGTAAATCATGTGATCAGGTCATACATCTGTTGCCCACCCCCTCCCTTGTTTTGTAACCTCCACCCCAGCCTTATCTTTGTCAAATAAGGCAATCTTCTAGCTCCCAAGCTTGTTTTGGGTAAAAAGTATCTCTTAGTTTCTGGGTAGAATGTAAGGTCTCTTACCTCAACCAATGAGTATAAAGAGATTGAGGTAAACAAGTGTGTGTGGGGGGTGGGTTTCTTAGAGTTGTTTGTCTAAGGGTATATAACTGCTTGTTTGCTGCCTGTATGTGGCCTCCCTACACCAGTCCACCCTGGGTAGGTGATGCCCAATTCTCAAGTGAGACTTGCTAGAATAAAACTTCTGTTTTCTACCTGGAGAAATCTCTGAATTTTTATTTGGGTAAGTGGTCTTAAATTCCACTCAGTGGGAGCTCGTCTAGGATTTTCTTTGATTAGGGAAGGGGCTTCCCTGCCAAGGTCAAGACCGAGCACACATCCGAGATTTCTCGGAGGTCTTGAGCTCCTAAGGGAGGTTGCTACCCAGTCATTGAAATAAACCCGAAGAGAGGGACTCGGAGAAACAGAAGGCTTGTTAGGGCTCCGACAATTAGAGACAAAACTGAAAAATTCCGGCCAGCCAGTGAGTGAGAGCAGTCACATAAGTTGTATGCCTGCAACTCAGAGGTAAGCACTCAGGGGTCTGGAGGTAATTGGCATAGGGTGAGGGCCCTTTAGGGCGGACTCTAGTTTAGGCAGAGTCCGGGCCTAACCAAATTGTGGAATAGATACCTCATCGAAAGGACGCCGCTGAGAAAGCTTCATGGGTGACTGGTGAGGATGGGCGACCTCCCTCGGTGACTCGACTGAGCCTTTAGACTTGGGGAGTTCGGTGACAGCTCCCGTAAATTCCCTAGGTGAGGGCCTAGGAATGGGAAAGGTACAATCTAAATCTGCACAGTTGGAGCGCAAAAATGTGACGTACCTATAGACAGTCCTTTAGGCAATCGATTGCAGAATTGGAATGAACTACCAAAATACAGAGGAAAGGATAGGAAGAAAATGATTAAATATGATTTGATGATTTGAGGATTCTACAGGGCGGAGGGTTGTTGTATATCTATTTTTTTTGTGTTTGTGTCTGTGCGTGGTATGAGTGAGTGTCAGTGTGTGTATCTTTTGCAGCCAGAGAGCAAAAGGCTGCAGCTGGACTCTGGAAAGTCTCTTTCTTTCTCTCCCCTTCTTTCTCCCTGGTAACAGCAGCCTCAGAAGAACGGGTGGATGAAAGAGAGAAAGAGAGAAAAATACTTTATTATTTAGGTTATATGACTGATAAAAACAAGTTGAGAAGGATTTTCAAAGTGTCAGGTCAGAATTAGAAAGATATAAGTTATGTGCAATTTTAAAGGGACTTTAACCAAAGTCCATTAGAAAGAAAGGCAAGAAAGTTTAAGCATGTAGGAGAGAGGAGTATGTGGAGAAAGCTTAAGGAAGGTATAATTTATTTGCACAATGTGAATAGAGGTTTTGAAAGTAAGACAGTTTTGAAACTTTTGGAAAAAAAAATAATTTCTCTCTCTCTCTGCATTCTAGTTCTGGCCAAATTTGAGTGTGGAGACAAAGAAAGAAAAAGGGAACCTTTTCCCCTCAGATCAAAAAGAGAGGTAGCATTTAATCTTTTCTGCCTCTCATAAAAAAGAAAAGTTTTTGTGTACCGGAACACAACCAAAAGGTAATTTAATTCATACTGGTAATATTTCAATGAAATGTGATGCTCTTAATTTAATGCTTAAGTCAGAATTTATTATACCGTTTGGTACTAAAGTAAATTGAAAGAAACTAAAGAACAATGGAAAAATAGCGTAAGATGAGTGAATTGTTTAGAGTGCATAGTAAAGTTGTAAAGGCAATTTGGGAAGAAAGAAGGGGAGGGAGAGCAATTATCTCCCTTCAGAAATGCAAAAAGAAAGCTGTGTAGTACTCTTGGTGAGTGTAATTTGGATGGGGAGTCTTAAGTTCCCCACCCTTGGACCAGGATATCCTCTGAATAGCTTTAGACAGTTTAAGTAAGTTGAGAAGGTGTGAAGAAGTGGTACGTTTTAAAGTAGAAGGATGGAAAAATAAAATTCTTTTTTTTGCCTAATTTAAAAACCAATAGATAAAGTTATGGAGAGATGGAAGGAATTATGTCCACCCACCTTTCAGGCTATATCCGTGGGTGGGTTCTATTAAATCTAATATGGATACTGGCTATGATAAAGATATTGGTTATTGTGAGTTATGATTATTACTGTTCAATTCATTAGGCTCCAGAGGTGCCTACCTGAAGGGGAAGCAAAAAGAAGTAGTTAGAATACTGGCCCAGTACATTTTAAACTGACCTAATTACAACAAGTGATTCGAAATGTTAAACTTTCGCAAGAAAATGTGGACATGAATGGGGAACTGAAATATTAAAGAAATATATGAATTTGTGGATAATATCCCTTTATAAAGGGGCAAGGGTATTGAACTTAGAAATGTGTATTTGTATAATTTTAAGAGCACATATTGTTATTTGGCAGTAAGAAATTTATTCACTATGTGGCCGCAGGAGACTGTTGAATCTGGTGAAAGGGTCTAGAAAGAAAGAAATTTTTTTATTGAGTCTGTTTTCAATTGTATTAGTTATGTTGCTGGAAGGGCAGTTTCTTTTATAATCTGGAATGTTAAATTAATTGTGCCTTCAGAGAAAAGAGAAAAAGGAATGAATTTGGCTGCTGGGGCACTCTACATGATCCTGTTTTGTATCATTTCCCTCTAAGTATTGTAATTTAAGAAAGCATAGAATTTCCAAATTTTGTCTATATTTAAAGGGAATTTTCAGTTAAAATTCTTTTGTTATCATTTATGAAATTTCTGAGATTTTTTAATTAAGTTGTTTGGGATTACTGTTTTAATACTAAAACCTAAAAAGTATAATTAATTACTGTATGTGGAAAGAAAGGGATTGTGTAAGCTTGCCAAGATCCCTGGAAACCATTTGTGTGAACAAGGTCATCTGCCCTGGGAAAAGGACTTGTTAGGATAATGCAGTTCCTAGACAATGAATTTAGTTTGCTGAGAAGTTGAAAGTTTATGTTCAGTAGATAGAAATAATTTCTGATGATTGGCTTTTACACCAGGGCAAGTTTAAATTTGAGAAGGAAAGATGTAAAGTGAGATCTCCTATGTATGTGAGTCCTGGTAAATCTATATTGCTTATTGCAACTCCATGAGAGTAAAAGTAACTATATCTGGCTTTAAGCTGTGATTAGTGAGACTTGCTGTTTGAGGTAAAAGGCTCTTGGGACTATACCTATTTTTGTTTTGAGTCTGAATTTGGGTACTGTCTGCATTAAATTAGTATCTGAGAGAAATGCCACAAGAACAGGTGGAGGTCTATTAGAGGAAATGTGATTTATTTGGGAAAAAGGCCGAGGGGACAATCTTAGCCTCAGTCTAGGATGGGATCCTTCTGGCTCAGTTTCCCCATTGTGTTCCTCTGGAAAGGAATGTTTCCACCTGACTATTACTGCGTTTGGCTGTGAGGAGAAACAGATACTGCACGATTGGAGAACTGCAACTCTAGGAATTTAAACAAATCTAAGGATCTTTTATCTTGTCATTATTTGATACATCACCTGTCCCTGCTCCTTTTGCCTTCTATACTAAGTTTCTATGATCAGAGCAAGTAGTCAGCATGAGACATAAGAAAAGGATTGGATTACAGTCATATCTTAAACTGATTGTTGGAACTTGCTGGGACTAATGACTGAGTGTTTCTGAGTTTAACTCTAGGTGTCCTTAACTGAAACCTGGCGCACTTTAAGTCTGGCTCAATGCAGTTTGCAGTTTGATATAACACTCTGTCTGGAGGTGACAGGAAGCTGAGGGAAATATTGTTCCCTTATTCTAATCTCTTAGTGGCTAGTTTCTATCATCAGAAGGTTTTATAAGTACAGTAACAGATTTACTAAAATAATTGATTATGGAACATCTTGGGTTATTATAGAGCTGGGACTAGTGTTCCTGTAAGAGTTAGGATCCTTTAGTTCTTGATAATGGTATGGAGACAATCAGGGGCTTGTGAGAATGGCATTTTGGTTATTTGGATAATATCACACTCATCTAAAGTTTTGTTACCATTGATTAATAATGTTAAAAGAAGAATGGCTTGTGGTTTATGTTGTAAATTTCATCAAAGAAACAAGGCATGACTAAACTTTTAAGATTCTATATGTACTGTGTTAAAAACTGATATGTATATACTGAAGCCTGTGATTAATCCCTTAGTGAAATCTCATCCCTCTGGTGAGGAAATTAATAATGGATTAATGTAAAGTATAAGACACTGGGTTCTGATGTGAATTTCTTAAACATGACAATTGACCATGATTCCAATTTCGAGTTCGTAAAAATGATCACGGTCATAAGACTAGAAATAGTGATTTATTCAACTGGGTATGGAAATCTGTCTTACCCTACAGGAAAATAGGAGGAAGGGGGACAAGAGAGCCAGGGGATGATAGAGAGAAGAGCAGACTGGGAAAGGGGTAATCAGAAGGAGGTACTTCTGAGGAGGACAGGGTCAAAAGAAAGAATAGAATAAATGGGGGGGCAGGATAGGATTAAGGAAAATAGAGTTAGTTTTTCACAACATGTCTGCTATGGAAGTGTTTTGCATAACTGCACGTGTATGGCCTGTATTGAGTTGCTTGCCTTTTCAATGAGGGTGGGTGGGGTGGGAGGAAGGGAGAAAGTTTGGAACCCCAGAGTTTTAGAAACACATGTTTAAAAAAACAATGTTTCCACATGCAGCTGGGAAATAAGAAATACAGGAAATGAGGTACAGAAATCTAGCCTGCCCTGCAGGAAAGGGGAAGGGGATAAGAGATGGGGCGCGGGGCGGGGAGAGATAGAAGGGAGCGCAGACTGGGGAAAGGGGTATTCAGAATACATGCCATCTTGGGGTGGGGGAGGGGCAAGATGGGGTGAAAATTTGGAATTCAAAGTAACCGTTGAAAACTAAAAATGAATTTATACATGAGTAGGAAAAAAATTAAAAAAAAAAAGAATATGAACTGACACACCCAAAGGACGGAGACAGCAGCCTTTTTTTTAAACACAGGACCCATGAAGTGGGCGGAGTTAAAAAAAAAACATGGACAAACATGCAATGGGCTGTCCAGGAAGGGTGTAACTCAGATGAAGTAAATCAATAGTAGCCCTGATGGGTGGAGTATGGATCTTCCTAATGGTTTAAAAGTAGTTTCTACCACTGAACCAGCGCCCACGTGCTACTAAATACATTGTGCCAGCTTCTCTCCAGAGAAGTTTAATAAACAATTCTTCACTCAAAAAAAAAAAGAAATAGTGATTTGAGGTTGTGCCAAGATCACTTCTGTAGGAGACTGGACAGAAAGCTGGTTCCTACAAGAAGAAGAAGATGCTGAGATGCTGCGCTGGAGATGGCTGGAGCAAATACCAAGGACCAGAGGACTTCATCGATGACGTTCCCTGCCAGACAGCTGTAGAAGAAAAGACTCTTTGATTCTTAAAGGGATGATTACACTATTGTTTTCTTTTGGGTCTCTGTATCTGCATTTATGAAGGGGCTGCCCCTTTGATTTGTCAGTGCTTAGATTAATCCTTCCTACATTTACTTACAGGAGCAGTCCTGGTTTGGGGGGAACTTGGTGGAAGCAGGTTTTATGGTTCTTATTAATAGCAGTGAGTGGAGTCATACTACTCCCAGTGTGTGTCCACTGCATGGTGCAGTTAATTACTACTACTGTACAAAGGACACTCTCTAGGATGATTACATTAAAAAGCCTGTTAGTGAGTCCATAAGACTAATGACATCGGGGAATCAAGGATGGATGCCAGTCAGTCAGGAAGAAGAGGGAAGGTCAAACCCTGATGAAATAGCAAACAGGGAGGCTGAAGAAACTTACCAGTTTTGGCGTGAGAAACTTTCAACTATGTTTTTGGTTTTGGTTTTTTGGTGGGTTTTTTTGGCTAGGCAATGGGGTTAAGTGACTTGCCCAGGGTCACACAGTTAGTAAGTGTTATGTGGCTGGATTTGAACTCAGGTCCTCCTGAATCCAGGGCCGGTGCTCCTAGCTGCCCCGAAATTTTCAACCATGAAATGAGAGGGGGGAATGTGTGGGACAACTGAAAGTTTCTCATGTGAAATGGAAGCTGTACTCCAAAATTTAGTTAAGGCTTCAGCATTAGCTGGGCCTAAGTTTCATTTTCCTGTAAATCATGTGATCAGGTCATACATCTGTTGCCCACCCCCTCCCTTGTTTTGTAACCTCCACCCCAGCCTTATCTTTGTCAAATAAGGCAATCTTCTAGCTCCCAAGCTTGTTTTGGGTAAAATATATCTCTTAGTTTCTGGGTAGAATGTAAGGTTTCCTGCCTCAACCAATGAGGATAAAGAGATTGAGGTAAACAAGTGTGTGTGGGGGGGTGGGTTTCTTAGAGTTGTTTGTCTAAGGGTATATAACTGCTTGCTTGCTGCCTGTATGTGGCCTCCCTACTCCACTCCGCCCAGGGTAGATGATGCCCAATTCTGGAGTGAGACTTGCTAAATAAAACTTCTGTTCCTACCTAGAGAAGCCTCTGAATTTTATTTTGGGTAAGTGGTCTCTATCCCACTCAGTAGCAATGATGATGTGCTTTTTTTTTTTTTAATGCTAGGCAATG